GGGGGGGGGAGGCGCTGGAGGAGGGCTCTCTGCCTGCACACCTGGCAGGTGGGGGCAGCAGGGGAGGACGGGGGGCCCTGGGGCTGGGAACTGGGCAGACGGTACAGGGAGGTCGCTGCACGTGCTCCCAGGGAACACCTGCAGCCCCCTCGGGACTCGGGAGCCGGGAGCTGGGACGGGGCCAGAGGGACCCTGAACTTAGGTCCGCGAGCCAATCAATCCTCAGGCAGCTGGCCTGACACACTGAGGCAGGCCTCCGGGCCTCCGTTTTCTTAGCCCTAGAATGGAGTGACCTCACAGTGCTGGCCACCACCCAGGCCTCCCTGGACACCCGGCACTGTTGGCGTGAGACCCCCTCCCCGGGCTGTGGAGGGGCCAATGGGGCACCGAGGGGACCCACAGCATCCTGCACCAGCCCTTGGTGGGATTAATCATCATAAATCCAAAGCTCTCTGAGGAGAACACTTCTCAATCATTTGTTTCTTCGAAAGCATACAAAATATTCACCCTGGCCGACAAGCCGTGTCTGCCCCCCAGCATCCAAAGAGCCTCAGAGAAGACAGGGCCTGAGCCGCTCCTGTGGGGTCCAGGGCAGTGGGAGGGACAAGTGGGAGTGGAGGGCTGCCTGGAGGAGGTGATGCTGGTACAGGTGAGGTGAGGGAGCCAGAGGCAGGGCCGCAGGTGGAACAGAAGAGGCGGGGAGGTGGGTTAAAAAGGGGAGCACCCGCACCTCACAGAGGGTGTCTGAGGCCCAGGGAAGCCTAGGGAGGGCCTGAGGGCCTCACACAGCAGGAAAGAACTGACCCTGAGGGCAGGCACCTCAGGAAAGGCCCAGCCCCAGAGTCGCAGCGAGTGAGCCAAGGCTGAGGTCAGCCAGAGACCATGCTACAGAGCCTCGCTCCACGTGGTGAAAGCCACGAGGCCCCGGACTCTACCCAAGGACAACATGGGCCTCCGGCCAGCCCCACCCGCTGGGCTCCGCGTGGCCCTGCCCTCGGCTTCACCAGCCCTGGGCAGAGATGCAAGGCCAAGGGGCTGGAGGCAACACCACAGTGGATGAGACCGATGCCACCCTCACCGTCACACGGGGACGGGGACACTCGAGAGCCAGCCCCGGGCTCACCCGTCAGACTGACCTCCCGGGGCTCCTGAACTGAAGAAAGGGCCGAGCCCCTGGGCTGCCTTGTGCTCGCCCTGAGGTCGCAGTCCTGGCCTGAACGTGAACTCCGGCGCACAACCGCGAGGCCCCCTGCCTCAAATCCAGACCGCAGCCCCTTGATCTGAAGGCCCCCCAACTCCCAGCATAGTCCCCCCACCTCAGGGTCCTCCTGTCCTCCACCGAGCCCTGGCCTGGCTGAGGGGCCAGCCCGTGCCGGCTGGGGCATCTTGGGGGTCCCCGGGGCAGACTCCATCCGGGGGCCGCCCGAACTGTATTCCAAACACCCTGCTCCTCCCCCAGACAAAGCCTCAGCCCCCACTGCCTCCCCATCCTGCCCCCATGGCCCATTTGGGTCCTCGTCTGCTGGGGTCACTGCCCGGTGTCCCATCCACCCATCGTCATGAGGCCACTTCCCTTGGCTCAGGCTCAGCGGCCACAGCCCCCGGAGGCCGGCACGACCGTGTCCCACGCCTGCCCCCTCCCCATGTCAGCACTGACCAAGGAGCTGAGCCCAGGCCCGCCCAGGCCCGCGTCCTGAGCGCCCTCCCCCGCTTCCTCTGCCCAAGGCCACGCTCCTGGGGGACACCCATCTCTCTGCGTCCCAGCGGTTCGTGGCAGGAACCTCCAGGAGAACCCCCCACACACACACTCACCTCCCCAAGTCTCTCACACATGAAGTTCTCCCAGCCATCCTCGGGGGGCGCCTCGGGGATGAACAGCCAGTCAGCCCCCGAGGCCAGGGCGGACACCAGGGCCAGGTACCTGGGCGAGCAGGACGCTTAGGGGCTCCAGCGGGCGGCGGGGTGTAGCCAGCACCACGTATGGCTCTGAGCTGTGATGGGACTCACCACACCCGAGCCCCCAGTCCCTCGGCACCAAGTCAGCACCTGCACCGTTCGGGCCCCGCGGAGGCGCCGCAGCCCCAGGCCTGCTCCCCAGGAGACCCTCCCCGCCCTCCCACCCGGCAGGGCGGTCCCCTTACCCACAGTGCCGCCCCATCACCTCCAGCACAAAGGTCCTCTGGTGGCTGTGGACACGGAACAGGGGGACGCGTCAGTGCCGCCCCCGGGCCAGCTGCACAAGTGGGCACAGCCCAGCAGAAGCAGCCCAGGCACAGGGGCAGTGCCACGCCGCCCACGGCCCCCGCCCTGCCAGGGAAACGCCCTGGCGACACAGCAGATGTAGGAGAGACGGTCCTTCCCACGCCCAGGGCAGCCGAGACCCTGCAGTGCGGGCCACCCGTGCCTGGGCTCACAGCCCGCCTTTGGGCCGGTTTTCACTGATCTGCTCCTGGGGCCGAAGGCCACGCGCCCTGCCTGGGCCCGGGGGTCCCCGCCGGCAGCCTGAAGGCCCCTTAGGGACGCACCGTTGCTCCGGGGCCAGCGGGCGGCCTAACGGAGACCGGGTGCACAGCTGGGGCCCCGTGGCTGGGAGACGGGACCCCAGCTCGCTGGCGGGGGAAGGGGGGCTCGCTCACCTCTGGGCGGTGGTGGTAATGGCGTCGATGACCTCCATGATGCGGTGCAGGGCCGAGTCCGTGCCGATGGTCATGTCGGTGCCGCAGAAGTCGTTGTCGATGGAGCCCACCAGCCCCACGATGTTCAGGTGCGAGTAGGTCTGCGCCGTGCTCTCCGAGATCTTGCCTGCACAGGGAGCCAGCCCTGAGGCCCCGCCGGCCTGACCCTGCTCCCTTGGCCCCCTGTCGCCCACCCCCAGCCCCCTAGCAGC